GAACCAAGAGTAGATCAAAGTGGAGTGGAGTGGAGTGAAAAATCTTGAGGAAAACCACAAATTTTGCTTTTAAGTAGAGAGTTAGCCAAGTTAGTGTTGTATATCAAATCGAGTCAAAATTGTCAGTTAATTGGAATAACGTTCTATCCTGTAGTATGGGTTTCCTTAACCAATTTTCTGTGTTGCTTTAATATGAAACTGTTTAATGTCTAATTGATAAAGTCACTAGGCAAAAAGTTTAAACCTAGGAAGAAGAAAAGAATTCCAAGCTTGAATAATAGGAATTCTTTCTACGGATTATCATGAAGGTTTCTGTTTTAGCAGCTGGAGGCACTGTTAGCCTAAGGATCAAGAAATAAGCTAGAAGTTCAATCCATGGTCTGTAATACAGATTAAGAGTGATAGTCTTAAAGCACTTAAAAATATTAGTACTTCTTTTTCAGTCTACCTGGGTGCCACACTTTATAATGGTTTATCTTTGCTTATTGTGTGATGAGAGGCATGCTGCTTTATACAAAATTGAAATTACTAGTAGAGCTAGATAAGCAACAAGGGTATGTTGTACAGCACAAGGAATTACAGGTATTATCTTGTAATTTATAATGGAGTATAATCTGCAAAAATACTGAATTACTATGCTATACACCTGAAACTAATATAATATTATAAATCAACCATACTTGAATTAAAAAAATACAGCTGAGACTTTATTTCCTGAGGGATTTACCACTTAAATTATTTTTTGAAAGATTTTTTCAGTCACTCAAGGGCATGTCCTACTGAGATGAGATTATGGCACTGAAGAACACAGACTCAGTCAAGTATAAGGTTTTAAAGTGGCTCAAGCTCTCTATATAAAACTGAATCATTTCTCAGATAACATTTTTAAAAAGTCAAACCCTTAAATGAAATACAAGTTATAAAATAATATTGACAAGATAAAATGATGTAAGGTACTATTAAAAGGAAAACTTAACACTGTAAAGTGGAAACTATGTTGATAAGTTATTTATAAAGCCATTATAAAATTAATACTTGAGAAATTTAAAAATAAGCAATAATTAACCTAAGCCTATACTTTAAATTCTTTTAATTTTTACTTTTTGTTGAGATGTGGTTGATTTATAGTGTACAGCAAAGCATCAGTTATACATATACATACATACATATTTTCAAGTTGTTTTCCATTATAGTACAAGAAGTTGAATGTAGTTTGTTCTCTGTGCTATATAGTAGGTCCTTGTTGTTTGCTTTATATACAGTAATGTATATCTGTATTTTCTTAATGGACGTGCTGGGGATTGATCCCAGGACCTCGTGCATGCTAAGCATGCCCTCTACCACTGAGCTATAACCGCCTACTCCCAACCCTGTGCTTTAATTGGAAACTAGGCAGGTGCTTGGTTGAAAAGTTCTTACCACAAGAATCAGTGCTTTTGTGTGATTGATGACAAAACTTAAGCAGTTACCTTTCCAAATGATGCTTCTTTAAATTACTAATAGTGAACTATCTCTGTCATCTGTCAGTGACATTTTTACTGTATTGGTATTGTTGGTTACTACATATATTTGGTATATTTGCACATGAATAAGTTAACAAATAACAAGAGTGTTCCACTTTGATAGAAAATGTGGAAAATCTGAAAGTTGTACCTTTTTGTTTTTAATTCAGAAAGGGAACATACTATAAGAAATTATCATTTTCTAACTGTTGATAAATTTTTATGTGGAATTAAAGGGTTAGAATAATGTCAATGTAGTTTTTTCACTGAGTATCTCTACAAGCCTTTATGATTATACTGTCTTAAAATTAGTTGTTTTTAAGAAGTGATTATTTTGCACAATTGCTTAAGATCCATATGGTAGTATTAGATACCTTTAAAACAGCATTTTTAGATTTACAAGCTGAAGTTCTTTTCTATAATATTTTTTAAAGAACTGAAGACTGCTTAACGCTCATTTTACTTGCTGCTAAATAACTCTCAGAAAGAGTGCATAATATAACTAATAAATATCTTTATTTTACAAAAGAAGTCTAGATATGAAATAACTCTGTTTTCAGTGAATTTTCTGAGTGTGTTAAGCTTTGTTTCACAGTAATGGAATGTGGGTTTTAATATGATTAACTGAAACATTTCTTTTTTAATATTTTATTTATTTTATATTTTGTTTGTTTTTGTTTTGCAAGGGTTGGGGGATTAGGTTTATTCATTTACTTTAACTTATTTTAGTGGAGGTACTGGGGATTGAACCCAGGACCTCTTGCATGCTAAGCACGTGCTCTACCACTGAGCTATACCCTCCCCCCCAAAACATTTCTTAACCATACAGATAATTTGTTCAAATGTTGAACACAAAGCTAACATTTTTAGTAGCACTTGGAGTTATGTCATGAGCTAGGTTTAAGTTTTAGGTTATTCAGAATTGTCTATAAAAATGAGCTTTAAACCTGTTCAATAAGAATTTGAATATCAGATTGTAGTTATAATGGCATTTGTGAAGCCTAATTATGGATAATATTAATGTTTACTGTTGGGAGGGATAGGAAGGATGTACTTTCTTTTTTGGAAGTGAAAGATTCTGCATTGATGAGCATTTAGAATTTATTGTATAATGAATTTAAATGGGTAAATTGGATTTTGACAGTAACATTTTAGATCAGTTATCTCAAAGGAACTATTCTCAAATTTTCTTAACCTCTAGTATAATGTACTATAGACAGGCAATTTTAAAAGAAGCTAATCGTTAAAAAAAATTTTCAGTAACTTAGTTAACGTCTCGGCATTGTAAGTTTTTATTTGTTGTAAACGGAAGTCTGACTTAGGTTACTTTTCAGTAATACTGCTCTCGTGTCCTTGTGTGGGACTGCATTTTAAGGTGAAACAGTCACAGAAATACTAAGGTTATTCTTAATATTACAATTACAAGTTGTCATGGGATTTACATGGTTTGTCTTGCCCTTTTTCTGAGTTTTTCTGACATCCATTTTCTGTTTTGTCCTAAGGTTACCATCTTTTACTTCTCTTAACCTTTCCTTTTTGCAGATCCACCATTTTTATATATGCTGAAAAGCAAAGTAATTGAGATCTCCAGTGCAACAACCTTTTCTTTGAAATATGATCAATTTTAAAAAATATAAATGATCATAATGCCACTGTATAATTTCCATGAGGGAAAAGAATACTGCTTTCAGAAGATGAGCTTTTTAATAATGTAAAAAACTGGCTGTCACATCAAAGGCAAAGCTGCAATTCATAGTAACCTTGATACTTTAAAATTTTGATTTCAAAAACCCTCTTAACCGTTTTGATTTTTTTTTTTTTTAGTAAAGTATACATGAAAATTTAGAGGGTCCTACCAATGTTGATGCAGTATTTCAACTGCCATTCCGTATGGCATTTATGAGACATATCAAAGAAACCTTCATCCAAAGAAGTCCACTTATTCTTGTCTTTATTTTATTAATCCTAAAGCACTGAGTAGTTTACATAGTGGATCTCATCTAGACCTAGTTTCTTTGGTGTCTTTTCTCAAATTCATCTCTCTTGGTGTGCAAAAACATCTGTAATTCCAGTCACTTCTGATGGCATTTCTTTGTCTTTTTAACTTTGTTACGTCTTTTTGTAAAATCTAAGTCTGGCCTGCAACTTTTTTTTATACTTCCTTTACCACTGTTTTCGTCCAGTGTTTCCTTATTTTAATCTGTCATTGGTGGAATTGGTCCCATAATAGACTTGTAACTATTGAATATTGCCTGGTTTTTATGTTAATGAAGTTTAATATTTTAAACTAACAGTGCTTAGGTGTATGGGTGATCAAAACAACTAAGCAATGCCTCCTAATAGAATTCTGTAGCAAACAATTTAAGACTTAATCTCTGTATGTAGTTGTGATTATAAAATTGTTTCATGAAGGACATTTGTATGTACATCATTAACAGTTTATGAGATAACATAAATGCTTTGCAAATTCTTATTTAACAATTTTTGAGGTAAAATAACAAGGAAGATGAAAATAATTTCATCCAGAAACACATCTTGGTGGATTGTATTCAGAATTTAAAATTTCTAGATGATGGGGCTGTTCTTGTGAAAAGTTTACAGAAGTCTGTAAGCAAGATCTCGTTTTCATTTTCACCTATTTTGAGTTCTACAGGTGCTGTGTTGTAGCCCTGAGCATTAAATGAGCATTGATGGCTGCAACCTGGGGGAATTTCACTTCTTTAAGTCACCTATACTTCCTGTATCTGGGTTTTTTCTTGGGAGGTCTCCTTTTTCTGTACTGGCCATACTTAGTTCTCCTTACCTTATAATGAAATAAGCACTGCCCAAAATAGGATGAACAGTAAGAAGGCAGTTAGTTTTTTGGCTTAAATTTGTGTAGAAATCCTTAAACTGTAGGAAGTCACTTATTTTTCTTCACATCTGTCTTTACCTCAAGTTGATTTTGCTGCATAAAAGTCTCAACTATTATGTTTGGTCTTAGATCTTATACTAGGTACTTGACACCTAAGCTTCATTTACCTGTGATTTTACTTGGTTCTTTCTGTTAGTGCTAAGAGGTCTCGTTTTTCTAAAGTAGAATACAACTGATTCATCTTGCTGACTTGCTGACTTGATTTTTTTGTTTGTTTTTAGTCTTCTGGAACTTAAGCATCATACTATAGGGTGTATTTTTATTCTTCCAAACAAAAAGACCCATCTATATTTTTATTGAAATTTTGATGTGTTCAGACATCTAGCCCTTCAATTGATACGTTTTTAAATTCAATATGAAATTCCCTTTAATAGTTAAAACTTTAGCATGAAAGACTACTTTTTAAATATCTATATGCAGGCTCTGCATACATCTGGAATCTGTTTAAGATATGTAATTCCTTGTAAGTTTGAGATCTTAAATGTTTTTTTTTTTAAATCAACGTGATGCGTAAGTTTTTTTTTCTAAAAAAAACGGCATCTACTTAAAGGGATTTATGACTAAAATTGCTTATTTTTCTACAGAGTTGTCTGCTGGTTCTCAGCTTGAAGAAGATTCTACAGTCCTTATTGATCCTTTTTCTTGGCGTTACCATTTTTTGAAGCAAAGTTAACCTAGTTTTCTAGTTTGAGCTTTCTTTTTGGCCATCTTTTAAAAAAAAGTTTTTTTTTGATCTATAAACTAGACAAGAGATAGTTCTACAATGTCCAAGTCATTCCAGCAGTCATCTCTCGGTAGGGACTCGCAGGGTCATGGGCGTGACCTGTCTGCAGCAGGAATAGGCCTTCTTGCTGCTGCTACCCAGTCTTTAAGTATGCCAGCATCTCTTGGAAGGATGAACCAGGGTACTGCACGCCTTGCTAGTTTAATGAATCTTGGAATGAGTTCTTCATTGAATCAACAAGGAGCTCATAGTGCACTGTCTTCTGCTAGTACTTCTTCCCATAATTTGCAGTCTATATTTAACATTGGAAGTAGAGGTCCACTCCCTTTGTCTTCTCAACACCGTGGAGATGCAGACCAGGCCAGTAACATTTTGGCCAGCTTTGGTCTGTCTGCTAGAGACTTAGATGAACTGAGTCGTTATCCAGAGGACAAGATTACTCCTGAGAATTTGCCCCAAATCCTTCTGCAGCTTAAAAGGAGGAGAACTGAAGAAGGCCCTACATTGAGTTATGGTAGAGATGGCAGATCTGCTACACGGGAGCCACCATACAGAGTACCTAGGGACGATTGGGAAGAAAAAAGGCACTTTAGAAGAGATAGTTTTGATGATCGTGGTCCTAGTCTCAACCCAGTGCTTGATTATGACCATGGAAGTCGTTCTCAAGAATCTGGTTATTATGACAGAATGGATTATGAAGATGACAGATTAAGAGATGGAGAAAGGTGTAGGGATGATTCTTTTTTTGGTGAGACCTCGCATAACTATCATAAATTTGACAGTGAGTATGAGAGAATGGGACGTGGTCCTGGCCCCTTACAAGAGAGATCTCTCTTTGAGAAAAAGAGGGGCGCTCCTCCAAGTAGCAATATTGAAGACTTCCATGGACTCTTACCGAAGGGTTATCCCCATCTGTGCTCTATATGTGATTTGCCAGTTCATTCTAATAAGGTGAGTTAATGCAACAGATACTTCTAATTTCTTTTACATTGTAGTGCCTATTCTGTGTTTACCTATATCTTTTACTCTAATTCTGTGGTCTGATGACAGAGTTGATCAAGAATTTTTATACTTTTGAGAACACTTAATTTGGAAGGTAATTGTTTTTGAGCATTTTAAACCAGGGCTTTACATTAATATAATCTGCCTAGATTACTTCTGGCCACAAAGCTGTCATCCACTGGGATTATCTTGTTGGTTTTTGGCATCAATATGTTCTTCTTAATCGTATATTTAAGCAGGTTTTTTTGTCTGCTTTGTTGAATTGTTTTAAGTATTTTTCCTTTTTTTTTTTTTGCAGTCAATGTGCTCTGCCATTCAGGATGCTAGATTTCAGCTCTCCATCTGTCTTAATTACTGATTTGTATGTAGTAAAGATTATTCTTGAACAATTCTCTTTTTTTCCTTATCTGTGGCTACAGGGAAAGAGTTAATGTAGAGCCCTGGTGTTTGTTTCAGTATATTTCATATTTTAGATTAGTTCATTCTTCCTTTTTTTAATTTCCCTTTAACACAAATTCTCATGCTGTAACTGAAATTTTTCATCATTTTTTTCTCCTTTTCCACAACTTTCTTAAACATACTTCAAAACTCACTTTTTATTGTCCCATATTGCATCTGTCCCTTTAGAGACTTGGAAAAATCAGCTACTGCAGTATCCTGCTCTGTGTTCCTCCTAAGCACATTCTTTTTCTGACTTAGGCTTAGACTTCTGGTACAGTCATTTGAGGGAAAAAAAATCTAAATCTCCTTTGCTTTAATTATCACATCTGGCAAAATGGGAACTTTTTCAAAATGCCCTTTTAAATACATTATCCTTTCTCTTTCAGTGTTTTCAGTATTAATCATTTGCACTGATTTTTCCCCACAATATACAGTGCAGTTGACTTAAAGTCGACATTATAGCACTCCACTAGCTTGATCTGTAATCTGACCATCCATTTTTCCTGATATGCTATACTTAACTAGAACATGTTGCTGCCATGAAACTGACTTGATGGTTACTGTTACAGGGTTTTTTCTTTACAGTAACATCTGGAAGGGTCATTATCTTTTCATATCTATCCCCTTTAAATGCATTTTTTAGTGAGTATTGATTTTTGAGTAAGCTAAATCATATAGGTCATTAGAGATTTTGTGTTTAATCTTTTAAAAAGTATTACCCATCAGTCCCTTTTCTGTGTTTGGATCTCATTATTTTTGTCTCATAATTAAGAAAAGAGACTTATTTGAATTTACAGAGTACTTTGAAAAAAACTTTAAAAAGTAATTGCTAGCTAAATATATATATTTCTATAATACAAAAATCTTTGGAATTAATGCATAGTTTAAGTACACAAGGAATATTTTAATCTTTAATCCACATCAAATTAAATTAATGGTAAATTTATGTTCATAGATTAATTTTCATTTAAGACATAGAACCACAAACTCATGAAAGTTAGGAAATTGTATTTAGTAGGTGTTTTGGACTTTTCACATTTGTTGGATACACTAAGTATATCATGGAATTTAGTTTTTGTTCAATACTTAATTTCAAGTTTTAGATATGGTATGAATTGATTTAATGAAAAGGTCCATTTAACTTGGTGACTTCAAAATATTTTCATTACTTCTTGCCTATTTGCAGAAATGGCAATATGACTAATATTTTCAGATAGGTTCTCTAAATTCCAAGGAAAATAGCTAGTTACAGTGTCTCAAATGCAAGTGATTGTGAGGGACTTAAAATCTTTGCTACTGGAGTCATAAATCAAAAACTATTGTTGAAAGTCTCCTTATCCTGACTTTGAGCAGTAACTTAACCTTGCTGCTTGCTCATTTAAAAAAAAACAAAACAGTGAAGGAACACAAAAGAAAACCAAGAAAGACTTTAATCAGGAAAAAAATTCTATTTTTATGCGTAGTTATACTTTTCTCTCCAAATGTTGCTACCATCTAGTTCCTGAACATTGATATAAATGATTAATGATAGTGAATGGATCTAAATTGACAAAAGAACAGTTTTTAAATATTTGTTGAAACTTTGGATTTAAGAGTAAGACACTCTACTTAATGCAAGAGGTACTTGTAGCCTGTAAAAATGCATATGCCCTAGCTAGTTTTGGTATTTTGACAAAATATCAGAAACATTTAAGAATTATTTTAGAGGCCCTTTGATTGATACACAATTTATTTGTGTAAATTGGACCAATTTTAAGATGTTCAAGCAGCTAAATTCTTTCAGTGTATCTTCTAGCATAGCTGATGTTTCTGGGTATCTGCATTATTGAAAAAAATAATACTCACTTTTAGTAGTGATCTTTCTCATTTATAGCTGATATCGAATCAATGAGTTTAGAGAAAAATTCTGTGTGAAAATAGATAATGAAAAAAATTTTTTTAACATTTAATCCTGCTCTCTGGTATTGCTGCATAACTTGGAAAATCTGTTCTTTTCACTTATATTAAATAGCCTACATGATCAAAACTTCTACTTACTATGAAATAAACTTTTAAGTGAAAAAAACATCTAATTTTCATCATTATTTTAAGTGACTTTCAGTGATGATGTTGCTTTTGTTTCTTTCTAGATCATTTTAGAACATCATGTTGCTTTTCTGCACAACCTTAAACTTGCCTCAAAATTCCTTTCACTTAGAGAAAACTGCCCACTACAGCCCTTTTACTGTCTCATCACTTGAGTTCATAGTTTTCCTTTTAGTGTTATTCTAGAAACCGTTAGGTTATTCTTTATTCTGCCATTCCAGTTGTGCTTCTCCGAATTATCCTTCCTTTATATAATTTAGGTATCTCAGTGACGTCAAAGTGAATGTAGTTTTTCCTACAGAACTTCTGAATTCAAAAAGTGAATTCTTCTTTGTTAATCTGATCTGAGAGTTACCTCAATGTAGAATCCAAAGATAAAGGTATTTTTAAAATCCTTTTGACTCTTACTCCTTACCTTAGACCAAATAGTAGTAAAAGGCCAGGTGTGGTAGTGCAGATTAGTAATGGGTGGGCTTGGGAGGTACATAACTGATTCTTTGATCTTGGCCTTCCTTCTAGTACTTTGAAAGACCAGCCACATTTTTCACAGGTTTGAACCTTTAGAGCATGGGGCATTGGATATAAATTACTTCTGTTTAACTAAATACCCTTTCCATCTCCTATTAACTAGAAGCATGCCTAATAGGGTGACTTTTACTCCTCTCCCAACACATTACTTCTCAAGGATATTTTAAATTAAGTATTTTTAGTTCAAAATTCTATGTTAAGGTATTTGTTTAATCCCGCTTCTGAATTTTGTGAACTTTATCTATGGTGCCTCTTGGTTACAGCCATTTTTAAAGTGGCCTCCAACAGGTCAGTGGGTCTTTGCAAGTACAAACTTTTAATATCCCAGATATCTGGCTGTAGAGCCAGCTGAAGAGGTCTCTGAGTTCCTCAGCTATTAGCCATTATTTTTAAAAGGCAATCTAGCTTTGAGAATAAGCTCCCCAAGTTCTGAGAAGTGCCATTCTATTTGAATGTGTTCCATTTTACCTCTTTGACAGGAATTCAGTTAATTTTAAAGGACATAGAAGTGTGTATAAACTCGTAAAATGTAAGTTAGTTTATAAAAGATAACTTTTTGAAAAGCTTCAGAATGGTATCTCTTGTAATTTTGTTCTTATTTTAGTTGAGCTCTAAATGAGACTCCCTTTTTAAAACGTTGCCTAACCATGTTTTATATTCCAAGTGTTAGATAGTGTGGATGTTGGAGAAGTTGTCTTATTTTGTGAGGGTTTGTGAAACAGTAATACTTGTAAAGCAGGAATTATGAAACAAGATAGCTTTATAAGCAGTGTAGTAATAGTTGCTTTTCTTTCTTTTTAATTAAAAAAATTTTTTATTAATGCTTCCTATGTTCCTGGCAGTGTTCTGTTAAGCAGGTTACCTTCATTAATTCACCTGTTTTCCACAAAGCCCTAGGAAAATATTGAATTATAGTGAATTTAAATAACTTAGACCAAGAATTCATATTTAGTAAGTGGCACCTTGGGAACTGAACTCAGGCAGTCTGGCAGCAAAGCCTGCTTTCCCTAACTCCTTTTTCTTACATTGCCTAAAATGTTAATCATTTACATGTTGATTTTTAACTAAAGAAAGGAGAGTTTATTGAATAAAATAGGAAAAATTAATCATGTCAAATTTAAAATAATCACAAAGGAGCAAATAATGAAGGAATATGATGTTTTCCTTCCTAGAATTTAGAAATGAACACTCCTGAAATCTGCTTTTGTATTTTTGGGAAACATAGTGGGAGCTTAGTTTTTTGATAAATGGGGAGCCACTCCTTTTCTAGAAATGTCATTCCTGTTTAATCATCTTAGTAGCTTTTTATGGCTATAGTACACTTGGAACATCCTCAAAGACTGAATGAAGTTAAAGATACTATTTTTACCTAATCACGTTATAACATACTTTTCTAGGAAAGTAGATAGAAGCATGGACATTTTATCACATTTAAGAGTTGTATAAAACAGCAGTTCTCATAATATGACATGAATAATAATTCAGTTTGGTCCACAGCAGAAATTAATATGTCTCCTGATCTTGAGGTCAGTTATTACTCTTGATCTTTATTAACTCTGTATCTTTTTCCTGTCAGGTCTATTAGTAAGTTAACCAAGTTACCCAGTTTTTCCAAGAATGTGCATGGCGTATTTGAGGGCAGGATCAAGTTATAAGGATTAAAAAAAGTGGTTTTAAACTAATTAAGTGCAATTGGTGAATGAGCAGGTGTTTGTACAGCCTATGATATTGCATATAGATTAACATCTTAGAGTTTGAATGGTTCAAATGAAAATATCTTAGCTTTATTTTTGTTAATTCTACGAATTTACTTTGCTGCAGGAGTGGAGTCAACATATCAATGGAGCAAGTCACAGTCGTCGATGCCAGCTTCTTCTTGAAATGTAGGAGTTTGAAATACCTTTAAAGCATCCCTATGGTGAATCAGAAACAGCCATTGATTGGTTTTGGGGAGTTCATCGTATACTTGTAATATCCACATTGTTATTACTGCATAGTTGATACTGTCCAGGCAATACCAATTACAAACAAAATATTTAGATCTGGAGTTGTGTATGGAATTTTAGATGCCATGAGAGTGGTATTTTGTTACTTAATATTATTTCTAGGGTAACTAAACATTGGATCTCTTTATACGATTGAAAGAATTTTTAATAGACTTAAAGATGGCCTTTGATACACAGAACAAATTCATAAGAGCATTTTCAGTAATAGTAATAATACATACTCTAAAAATATAGAAGACATGGAAAAGAGAGGAAGTTATTCAAAGTTACAAGTAAGTTTTCAAGCAAAACTGTTCAGAATGTATTTTTTGCTTTTAGAGGTAGCTGTGATTATGAGTTTAAGCTGCTAGAATGAATTTGAATTCCTAAAGAATCTCCCTGCCTAAATATCACATGATACCCATTGTTCACTGAAGTGGCAGTTATTACATATACCATGCCCTGTTGGGGCTGTCCTTTCTGTCTTGTGCCACAACTCAACTCTGCTCGTAGTATTTAATACTGGAGAAAGAAAATCTGTGGTCTATGTTTCCCTATACAACCCACATTTCCTGTCCCTCATGCAGTGCTTTTCCTCTGTATGAATTAACAAGTACAGGAAAATTTTAATTGCAATCTACATTACCTACATTTTCAAACAATACTGAAAAAATTTATTTTCATTCATTTGGATTAATTTGAAGTTCTGAAATTTTCCTTTTGAAGTTTTTGTATTACATGTTTTAAACTATAATATTTCTAACACTTAGACTCTTATATAACTTTGTTAATAAATAATCTCTATTTTAAAGGCCAAACAAGGCTACTTTGCGAAAAGGACAGTTTTATTTTAAAGTTAATTTTCTGGTCTTTTTAAAGCTATCCAGAATGGAATCCTGACAATGATACAGGACACACAATGTAAGTTAAAATTTTTAAGCTATTGTTTATTAAGGAGATCAGTGTAAGGAATTCAGGTTAAATTTTCAACATTTCATAAAATATTTTCTTAATTTCTTCATTGAGTATGAGAGTTGGATAAAAGTTACTGTGAGTGAAAGAATTTTTAGAAACTATTTTATGTAGTAATTTTTTAATTATTACAGATTTTACTCTAGTTAACTTCATACATAAATGCCCCCAAAGATTGGAATCATAGTCATAGTAGGGATGTTTTAACAATAAATCCTAATTATTTCTGGTGGACCTACTTATCATGCTTTATTTTCTTATGTCTTCACGTTACTAGGGGTGATCCATTCATGTTGCAGCAATCTACGAACCCAGCACCAGGAATTCTGGGACCTCCACCCCCCTCATTTCATCTTGGGGGACCAGCAGTTGGACCAAGAGGAAATCTGGGTGATTATAAAATTCGTATTACCTTTCCTTAAGAGCTTTTCCCATAAAAATTAAATGCAGTAATTGTAGGCAAAAGATGTGTTATTGAAATGTAACTCAAAAATAACATTGCATAGACAACATGAATGATATCTGTAATATCCTTTCATTTGTGTTTGAAAGTTGTCCATTTTCCAGTTAAAATAGCCTGTTGGGAGGAGGCTATAGCTCAAGTGGTAGAGAGCATGCTTAGCATGCGTGAGGTCCTGGGTTCATTCCCCAGTCTTTCCTTGAAGAATAAATAAATAAGCAAGCCTAGTTACCCCCCCCCACCAAAACCTACAGGAAAAAATAGCCTGTTAAAGCAGGTATATTTATTAAAAGACTGAAAAACATGTTTTTCCCCATACAGGTGCCGGAAATGGAAACCTACAAGGACCAAGACACATGCAAAAAGGCAGAGTGGTCAGTAATAACAGCTCTTGCTTTTACTGTATTTGCTATTTGGCAGAATGGTGTTTGACCTAAATCCTGGCTAATTGGAGTATGTGTCATAGTCCTCAATATAGGAAGATGGTTTGAAAACTGTTAGGCTTTTGTATATGACTTGGATGAGAATTAAAACGTATTGTTACATGCTCTTGGTCTAGAGATCTCACCTTATTTCAGAGTCTTAAGAACTTTGCTATCCAGTTGTGTACACAGTCAGTTTTAAATATCAGTATAGACTGTTCTCTGAAAGTTTGAGATATACTCCAGTGATAATTCCTTCCCTGTGTGGTTTTTTAAATTCTCTAGAATGATATGAGATAACTATTTTAAATGTTTACTCTGTTCTGGTTAACTGTAGACTATAATAGTTTTAACGCATAACCTGTTTCATACTGCTTCTAAAGAGACCTACTGACTTGATTTTTTCTTAATGGGTAGGAAACTAGCCGAGTTGTTCACATCATGGATTTTCAGCGAGGGAAAAACTTGAGATATCAATTGTTACAGCTGGTGGAACCATTTGGAGTTATTTCAAATCATCTGATTCTAAATAAAATTAATGAGGTATGAGTTAAGTGTATTTATTCATCACTGAAATATATTCTAAAGGGATTACATAATTCTCTATTAGAAAGGGATTACATAATTTTGTATTAGAAAAAGAACTCAGTGTGATCTTAAGTCATCAATATGGAGTGTGATAGAGAAGGCCAATAGCTGAACTAATAAATTGTAGTACTAATGGTTTATTTATAACTTTATAAATTGTGATTCTTGAGCAGTAACATTGCCATTATTATTATACTACTATTGTAAGGGTTATATAAGGATAATTATTTAGAAAGCCATTTCAGACTTTTACCTTATTGGTGCCAAATTATTATTTCAAACTCAGTAGGCATAATAAATGATAGTTTTCGTATCATGAAGGTAATAAAATCTGGGATGATCTTTAGTAAAATAGTAAGTTAGCAATGTTGCTTTTTTTGTTCTGCTTTTAGATTTTTGAAAATGCTTTCTATTTAATGATTAAATGTATCTGAAAAGACTTTGAGCAATGTGGGATTTATTTGGTTGTTTCTTGGAAATAATTTTTTTGCAATTTCAGGCGTTTATTGAAATGGCAACCACAGAAGATGCTCAGGCTGCAGTGGATTATTACACAACCACACCAGCATTAGTATTTGGCAAGCCAGTGAGAGTTCATTTATCCCAGAAGTACAAAAGAATAAAGGTAATACCTATCTTTCCACAGTTGTGTCACTTACCATTTAATACATCATTTTAATATTTATTAACTGAATAGCTATTTAGAATTGTCGCTAATTACTAGGATAATCTTAACTATTAGCTAGTAATTGTGGCACACCTACCAACATTTGACTTGCCCTCCCCCTCCTTGTTTATTAAATTAAAGAAACCTGAAGGGAAGCCAGACCAGAAGTTTGATCAAAAGCAAGAGCTTGGACGTGTGATACATCTCAGCAATTTACCTCATTCTGGCTATTCTGACAGTGCTGTCCTCAAGCTTGCTGAGCCTTATGGGAAAATAAAGAATTACATACTGATGAGGATGAAAAGTCAGGTAATATACATTAAGAAGTTTTTAAAAAGATGTCTGGAAGTGCTTTAAGATTTTTGTTATTTCCTCATTTTTAGTGAAGAAAGCAAGTGAAATAATTTGGTGGCTGGGGAGTGGGGGGGGTCCTTTATCTCCTCATAGATAAATTTTCTAGCCAAATGATGAGTTTTTGTGGGTTTTTTTGAAAATCATAGTAGAAGCTTAAGAGCATTGAATAAATACGGAAAAGTATAAAGTGAAAAGTAAAGATCTGATCTCTGGCATGGCTGTTTATTTCCATAGTTTGCTTCCAAAGATCTTCCTGGGTGTACATAGGTATACTTTCCCCCTTACTTCAAATGGGATTATATTGTTGCCTTCCACTTTATGCATGGTTCCCCTGAGTGTACTGTAATGAATTTAATTTCCTTAGTTGATAGATATTTAGAGTTAGTTTTTTGGCTGTGTCATTAATGCTGTTATGGACTTTGCAGTATGTGAATTAATGCATATTTGTATGCATATAATTGAAGGATACAATTTCAGAATTGGAATTTTGCATCCTGACATTTGCTTTCTTTACTTTGATTTTGTCAGATTGCTTACTCTTCAAACAGTACCCAGTTATAGTCATAGCAGCATTGTCTGAGAGAGTGCTTCGCAAGCACTGGATGTTACAGACTTTTTGAAATTAAATGAATTTAATGGATAGATTAAGTTATTTCATACTTGTATTTCATTTTTAAAATTCACAGTAAGGAGAGCATCTTTTCTTTCTTTTTGTTAACCCTTTTGTAGCAGCATGAGTTTGTATCCTTCCAGACTTTTTTATTAGTTTTTTTGTTCTTAATATATTTTGAGTAATATTTTCTAAGCATAGTACTTTATGTGTTGGTTTTGGATTTTTTTTTTAAATACAGAAAGACTGCATATAGGTGGCTTAACGTTTGGACAAACTACTTTGTAAATCTGATAAGTTGTCCTTATTTCACTGGATGATTTCTAGCTCTTAACACTCTCTATGCTAAAGATTAAATTCTTCTAACACATAGATGGAAAAAAATAGTAAACACTGAAGTTTTATACAATTTGCTGAAAATAGTGTCTGTCTGTTTTTTGTTTTTTGCTTTTTGTTTTTTTTAAGGCCTTTATTGAGATGGAGACCAGAGAAGATGCAATGGCAATGGTTGACCACTGTTTGAAAAAGGCTCTTTGGTTTCAGGGGAGATGTGTGAAAGTTGACCTGTCTGAAAAATACAAAAAATTGGTACTGAGGGTATGTAGCGTGTGATTCACTGTCATTATAAATTTTGTTTTCATGCTTTTCAAGCCACACATTCTTACAAATATTTTTGCTAAGAATATAGGATTTGGTTATTAAAAGGGAGTAACTTTTTCTCTTTTTCTGGTCTTCTTTAGGGCAGAAGTTCTTAAACTAATATTCTGTATAAAGCACCTGTATTACTTTTATCAATTTTATGTAAGATTTATTTCAACAGAGTTTTGTTACCAGAATGTTTATTGCTCTTTATTGAAATGTTGATTGTAATGAACTGTTAATTGTAGGAAGCTTAAATTCTTAGGTATGGTTACAGAGGTTGAACTTAGTTGGTATATGAAAGATGGTCATTAATTACTAGTTTATTGTATAATTACATATTCTACAAATGAATATATTCTAATACATTTATTTAACTTTGCAAAATTTTGTGTTTTAGATTCCCAACAGAGGAATTGACTTACTGAAAAAAGATAAATCCCGGTAATTTCATTGTGTGTGTTTGTGCATATGTGTCTACACATATATACTAGTGTATTTAACTTTTGTTTTCTAACTAAGGAGAAATCATTGAGGTGTATCTTTTGATTTTTAGAAAGAGATCTTACTCTCCAGATGGCAAGGAATCTCCAAGTGATAAGAAATCCAAAACCGATGGTTCCCAGAAGACTGAAAGTACAACCGAAGGTAAAGAACAAGAAGAGAAGTCAGGTGACGATGGTGAAAAAGATACAAAGGATGACCCAACAGAACAAGAACCTAACATGCTTCTTGAATCTGAAGATGAGCTGCTTGTAGATGAAGAAGAGGCAGCAGCACTGCTAGAAAGTGGCAGTTCAGTGGGAGATGAGACAGATCTTGCTAACTTAGGGGATGTGGCTTCTGATGGGAAAAAGGAACCTTCAGACAAAGCTGTGAAAAAAGATGCAAATGCAAGTGCTTCAGCAGCTGCGAAGAAGAAGCTTAAAAAGGTAAAGGAAGATTGTATATTGACCTGTTTTAGTAGAAAACGAAGATAAATGTTTTAAATTATTTGTTAGGGTCACATTAAAGAGAATCAGTCATTTATTTATATTAGAAAAAAATAGATGTGAACCATAATACAAACATATAAATCTAAACTCTGCAAAAAATAGATAAAATGGAACTAAATTGTAGAACTGGGAGTCAATTCACAAAGGAAACTTAGTAATAAAGGAGAAAGACTTAAAACTATCTGTACCTGTTTTGTAGTCATAGTGTGTAAGTACTGGTAGGCAGCGTTTATAGTTGAGTTTATTTTTAAAAAGATGGGCGGTGAATAAGTTAACTGACCCAGGATGCTTATGACAAAAATTATTGAGCCTGAAGAATTTTTCTGTTTGAGAATTGTGAGCTTGGTTAGGTACTTCAGTAGCTTTTAAAACATAAGATCGTATGAAGAGAATGTCAATATAAAAATACATACATGGTAAAAGAACAGTAACACAAAAGACCCATAGTGTACTGACTAAAATGCTTTTGTAGTCCCTTATGATAAATGGGTCTTGAAAAGAGATTTTTGTAATCGTATTCCACTGGTTCCTTCTAAGCAATATTCAGCTAATATAATGCTAATTACCTCCAGATTTTGATGGCATACTCAAATAATTTAGTCTTAAAATCCTTTTTCTGGCTGAAGTGGGTGATCGTTGCATAATATATTTGCACTCTTAAGAGCTGATAATCATTGAGCATTTATTACATGCTGTAAATTTTCCTAAGGTCTTTATGTGTAATAACCATATGCAATAGATACTTTGTTATCCCCATTTCATGAATGAGGAGATTGGGGCATGGAGAAGTTCAGTAAATTGTGGTTATACTGCTTTAAATCACAGAGCCAAAATTTAAACCTAAGCAGTTGTGCTCCAGAGCTTAATGTTTAACCACAATGCTACTTTAGATTGAATGTTTCCTAAACATCGTAAGATACTTTCTTCCAAAGGCATTCAGCTGCTTTAATCAAATCAGTTCTTTGATACATTCCCTGGCAGCATAGTGGTCTCAGAAATGTAGAGTATGAATGTCCCCATGTTTATTTTCGGCTTTTTGTGTGAGGCAAGTCTTCAGTTATTTAGTTTTAAAACAAGCTTAAGTTTTTTGTTTGTTTTTTTTTTTTTAAGATTAGTAATTTTGGGGGAGAAAGGAAAAAATTAGGCTTTATTTTGGTTTTTTTGAGAAAATGAATAAAGACAAAGACGCTATCCCTTTCCCTTCAAGTAAAGCATATGGAAGGGATGCTGCAGGATAATTGTTGCAGAGTAAATTTGTCTTTCTTAACAGCGTCGTTTCCCAGGGAGTATGGAAGGTTTTGTCACTCTAGATGAGGTTGGTGATGAGGAAGATTCGGAACTTCAGAAACTTCGTAAATCGGGCATGACATTTAAATCTGGTGACAAAAATGATGATGGTTTGGTTGAAATTAAGGTGGACAAGATCGAGGAACTTGATCAAGAAAACGAAGCAGCGTTGGAAAATGGAATTAAAAATGAGGAAAATACAGAACCAGGCGCTGAATCTGCTGAGAATGCTGATGATCCCAACAAAGATACAAGTGAAAATGCAGATGGCCAAAGTGATGAAAACAAGGAGGACTATGCAATCCCAGATGAGTATAGAATTGGACCATATCAACCCAATGTTCCTGTTGGTGAGATTTAAGGCTTTGTTACTCCCCTCTGACCCTCACCCAGATCTTATTAAATAAGATTTTTTACATTGGTCTTACATAAGCTCTGATAATATTTTTAATTTATTTCTATGCAGAACAATTTGTAAATCTTAACTGATATATTCTCTTTTCCTCTTACCCGTGTCTCCTGATTTTGTATTATCTTTTGTTATCATTCCATAATATGTTCTCTTTTCTCCTCATGAAGGTTTCTGAGAATTTCACATTGCTTTTTGTTTTGTTTATCTGTTATATTTCAACCTTTTTAAGAGAACAGTTAGGTGTGGGACCTTAAACATCAATTAAGTGCAAACTATTAACGATGTCATGGTTTTTGTTTTGTTTAGCTTAGGCCATATTGTACTTGTCGCAAATCTTATCTCGTTCAGATTATATTGACAGGAGAAAAAGATTTGAGAACGCTCTTAAAGTCTTCAGTTTATTGAATTTGTAAGAATGTATGTTTGTGTTCTAGGTATAGACTATGTGATACCTAAAACAGGGTTTTACTGTAAGCTGTGTTCACTCTTTTATACAAATGAAGAAGTTGCAAAGAATACTCATTGCAGCAGCCTTCCTCATTATCAGAAATTAAAGGTAAGGCTGAATCTAAAAGAGGAGAGTTCTTTTGTGAAAACAAACAAGTTGCGTAAATCTATTTAGAGTGAAATGTTTATAGTACCATTTATGGACTGAGCACAATGCTTTATCCTAGAGATAACATTCCTCTTTATTGATGGGCCTTGAGCAGTTTAATGAATTCTAGAAAGATCTGTTCAGTCTCTTTCTATAATACACTCCAAATAAATGATAAATTTGATAATTCCTAAATTTGTAATTCTAAATGTTATAAATTCATTGATGTGATTAAAGTTATTTAAGAATTTCACATGGGTTTTAGACGGTAATTTCTTGAATTTGGAAGATACTGGAGGCCTGAAAGCCAAGTGGAATAATGTAAAGCTTTTTCAACTTTATAAAATGCCATTTTCCTTCATACTTACTGATTTTTACTTTGACTTCAAATTATTATTTATTAATAATGACATTCTTCAGAAAGTTTTGTGACAGATAAAAAGATAAATTAATAAAGCACAACATAATTAAGAATAAATTTCTATTTGGATGTTTTGAAATTTGGTGTTTCAGTGGCTTAAGAACTAAGTATTAAAATAGATAATGGGGGAAAACTTAAAAGTAGGAATTAAAGAACTGCTTGTAGAGTAATTCCTTGTAATCCTTGAGATAACACTGATTTATAATATAAAGCTACTAGAGTATTAAGAACAGTGGTTCTTTTGAATAGTAGCAGCTGTGGACATTGAATAAATACATGTCATTTTAACTAAGTCATTGGGGCAGCCGCAGTTCTTCTATGTGACTATGGTCTTTGTTTTCTCATCTTGTAAGTTAGTCTTAATTACACATTGAAATAACCGTTTTTCACATTTTACCATTTTTTTCCCATGCCTTACTGTGGTGTCCAATTTAGTTTTGTATGCTGCCTAATAAGAATAACTGAATCTTTAAAATTGATGAAGTTATAGTTAGACTCAAGTCCCTAAGCTTGGATAGAGCATTTTATTTGAGTTAATCCATTTGTTACATTTCTCTTAGGTGACATAATTCTTGCAATTTTATTTTCTCTTTTCAGAAATTTCTGAATAAATTGGCAGAAGAACGCAGGCAGAAGAAGGAAGCTTAAGTGCAAGAAGCTTAATGATTTCAGAGAAAATAATGGTTTTGTTTTTAAATGTTAACCTTTTTTAAATACAATACTGATAGTTAGAAGAAACCTATTGTACTCTTTTGTTTTAGTGGAAAGATAATAGGTGTCTGTTCATGTGTTAAGTGTTATAGCAAAAATACATATGCGGTTAAGTTAATGAAGAGTTGTTTTTGTTTTATCAGAATGTTAACAGAAATTGTTTGTAGAAACTGACTTCGTAAGCTACTTAAGACAACTCGCACCACTAAGAAAAATACATAGAACCATTCAGAGAAATGAAATTTAGTAGTTCCAAGCTTCAAAGAAATGTCAAAACTTTTGATTCCATTCAATAAAGAACAAAACCAGTTGTATTTTTATTACTTTCATCTGAAACATTCCACATTTTACTCTGAGCCTTGGAGACTTCATTTGGAGTTTGAAGCTTTTTTGGTTTCATTTCATTTTTGGAGAACTTCGTTAATGTGATATGGGTAATTAAAATGCAGGTGCAGTTTTCTTTTAATGTTATGCAGTTGTTTAGGTAATAAGAAATATTGAGTAATTGGCTTTAGATTTTGTAATTTTTTCCCTAAGTTCCTGCTAGATTTCGTATTCTAGTAGTCAGTGTATTTCAGTGAAATGTAAAAATATTCACATTCTCTTTGACCAGTATTAATTTCTTGAAATCTTATTGTCACTTGAATCCTGTAGGTGTCCTACATCTGGTATAAGCAACATCTGATTTTTGAAGTGTGTAGACTCTTATTTTCAAGATGTAATTTTACATTTCTGCATTTTAAAAAGTTTGGCCATAATCTTAGACGCACGCTTCTAATTCATATACTTGCACATGTGACCTTTGTGAACAGGAATTTGCATGTATAATCTGTGTTTACTTGTAACTTTCTGGTTATATACTGCTTATATCTGTGGATTCAAGTTTCTGAAGTGAATACCAATAAAAAAAGAAACCTAGGCCATGTTCATTGGTTATACATGTTTGAAATGTTAACCAAAATATTTGTCAGTTGTGGTTTTTATTCACTGTTACACTTTTTTGCATGCTTTAACAAATTATTACATTTTTAATCTGGAGTGTTCTAAAGATTGCTACTAAAGATCTGCATTTTAAAGCTTTTGGTGCTGGTGGATTTCTTGTTCCTGTTACACAAATGAAAATGGGACTAGTCGTGGTTTTTTAAAACCTTGGGAGTTTAGAATGCTAAGGGTGAAGAAATGGCAAAAGCTCATGTTTAGACATGTCCAAGTATTTAACAGTAAAGTTGGAAATAACATGGAGTAGCAGGAATTAGTTCTACCAGCCTTTCAAAATACATTGGGATTGTTGGTATAAGAGATTATTGTCAAATGAATTTTTAATTAAAAAAAATAAGAACTGGGATTCTCTTGGAATTCTTAGGTCTGAGTGTATTAAAGGATATATTAAATTGGTGGGTATAATTTTATGCTCTATCTCTGAAGGGTGTATGACTTTTTTTTTAATGTAACATAAACAAAAAATCCTTGCCAGTTTATTTCTGCAATTTAATTTTGGCCTTTACTAATTTACCCATTTGTAACTCCCAACTTTTAACTAACAGCAGTTACACAAAGCATTATGTATACAATGGAATCCCTGATTGTTTTCTGTCAATGATAGCTTTTTCCCATAGGTCTTACTTTGTTGGCTTTACCAAGTTATAGAAAAGAATGTTTAGTATCTTCATTTGATAGCGTCTAGAAAGAAGAAATTTTCATAAACTGCTAGTGATAAATCTGTAACAGCTGTTTCCCAGATTATGCCAAACCTTTGCTTATTAGGAATGTTTCCACTTAAACCAGCTATAAAGTTTTAGATATTTTTCCTCCCACGATCTATGTTTAATCTGATGTTAATCCTGGGTGAAGGGAACTTTGTAGAAACAGCTTAGTGTTGATTTTACAGCTTTTTTTTTTTTAAACCCATTGCTGATAAATTCATCATCGAAGGTGACCCTGCTAAGGCTTGAGTTGCCTAGCTGTAGTATTGAGTATACTAAAAATAATTTTACTTAAAATTTTGTTAATGGTGAAGGTGAATTCCTGGCTATAGAGTACACCAATATCTCCTCTAGAAGTTTTAAGTGGTATGATTCTAAGGAACTTTTTTATTATGCCATCCACTCTGAATTCCTTCATCCTCTTAGGGTAATGGGGACAAGAAAAGGAAATACATGCTATTAAATATGGCCGCATTCAGTTTGTAAAAGGAGGAGATTGCGTGTTTTTTGCCTAGCTTTGTTCACAGTGTATTTTTGATGGCTTTGAACTATAAAATAACATTACCATGAGTAAATGCTGTGACAAAAGAGGCTCATGGTATGTAATGGCAATCTGTAGGAACACTACAGATTATATATATTTTTGCAGGTTATATTTTTAAATCAGAATAGAAACAAGACTGGTGTAGACAGTGTGGTTAAGATAATGTGCACCAGGACTAGAAGTGAGCTGCTCTTGTTTACTCTCCTGTGTTCTCCATCATAGAATATGGCCCAGTACAGCTGAAAGCTCAAGTGTTGAGTGGTAATAAATTTGCAGTTGTACTCCCTGACAAGGACCCTGAGTTGTTTGTTGGGCTGGAGTTAAAATGCCTCTCCATTCTGTTGCAGGTCCTTTCACTGTAAGGTGTAAAGTTGAGATTCTTAATCAAACATGGTGTACAAACGAAATGGTTCTCTGAATTCTTTCTTTTGAGACTAATGGTTTTCAAATGTTAGCTGTATCAGTATCACCTGGAGGCTTCATTTAAACTGCTGTGCCCTGTGCCTAGAATTTCTAATTTGCTAGGTATAGGATTGGTGTTAATAATTTGCATTTTCGGAAAGTTACTGATGATGTCAAGGATAGAGGCCAGACTTTGAGAATGATTGGTTTACCTAAAGCTTAAGTGTTTTTGTTAGGCAGTTGTAGTCAGATACCTGGTTTAGATACTCTTGGTTGAAGTACTAGTTTTGCTACTGTTTAAAACCTAAATCCATAGAGGGGAGGGTATAGCTCACCTCGCAGAGCGCACATGCTTAGCATGCATGAGGTCCTGGGTTCAATTCCCAGTGCCTCCACTGGATAAATAAATAGGCCTAATAACCTTCCCCCCACAAGAAAAAAATAAATAAATCTAAGGGAAATGGAAAATAATTACTCTTTGGGGGCCCACACAAAGCATCTTTTAAAGAGTTATTAGTGAGAGACACCCATTTGAGAGCCCTAGATGCTGCTTTCCCAAGTCAATCCTTTATCTTTTGTTCAAACAATGAAGTCTTGAGAACAGCTGATTTATGAGTTTCAAGTGAATGGGAAAATGGAAGTGGACAAGTCTGTGGGTATCTTTTAACTTGTTGACTGATAAACTTTATAGTTGATACACGCTAGAGCTCAGTTAAAGTACTAGTTAGATAAAAATGTGAAGCTATAAAAAGATCTTTGAAAAAATTCTCAGAGTCAGTTGATACATGATGATTTCTTAAAAGGCTATATATTAACATACTGAATGCTTTGTCTTAAAAATTTTTAGCTCTGGCCTCTCCCTTGAAATTACAGTTCTGCTGTTAGAAAGGCTTATAATTTCCACATAGTTTAAGAATTCTCTATACCCAAATGTACAATAGGGAATATGAAAATTAAGTGAAAAAGACAGTGCAGTCTATTACATGTAGTAGCCAAAAACCAATATACATGCCCATCCCAATAGCACACAAACTTGGGGTGAAAATAACTGGCATTAGATACAGATGTAATGATCTTAGAACCATCTTGTTACTGTGCTTCATACATAGATGATTGATGAGGTATTGGTTGTAAGGACCCGATCCAAGTGGAATATACCAAAAGCAGCAGAAATGTCCTACCTTTGACAGAACGAAGTTTCAGTCATTGTATCTGCCTGTCGAAACAGGGCCAATTCCTGTTTTTAAGCTTGCCAGGGTTGTTAAATCACAGCAACTTTCCCGGCAATACCAAGTATATTCTTGGTATGTGGACCCCCCCTTTTTTTCCTCCAGTTATCGAGATCTTATCTAAACCCCAGTTTGTACTCTGATTTGTGTTATCAGGAAAGCCTGTGGAAAGGATTGCAATTAAATGTTGGTGTAATGGGTGGTGAAACTTCAGTGATGATCACCTAATTCATTCCTGATTATGGCTACTTCTCACAAGCACCAAGTGTGTCTGTCTCTGATCCATCTCCTAAGTAGCTGAGCTGCACAAAACCAGCAGGGAAGGGCTTGGCACAGACTGGAGAAGAGGAATTTACTCTGCCTTTTGGGTAATCTGCACATCTGTAGGCCCATACTACCCTTGTGTGAAAATTTTAACCTATTATATCTACAGCTTATTTCTACAAATTTGACCCTCAAGTTAGGCCAGTTTTTAATACACAAAACTTACCATCTTAACTTTTTAAATAATTGTTTTATTCCATTATACCATAGTCCATTTTACCAGAACCCTATTGATAGGCTTTTAGGTTTCTTGATTGTTTATAACAGCTATAAATATCGCTATGTGTCTTTACATATACCCAGATTCTTTGGGCAAATTCTTACATGTGGAGTATTTGAGTGAGAAGACCTATCAAAAGATTATTTTCCAACACTTCAGTACAATCAATTAAGTGCCTTGTGTTGCTAAGTAACAAGTTCAGCTTCTAGGATTGTCAAGGTCAACTGCAATTTAGGTAAACTACCAATTTTTATTTTTCTCCTGCTAATGCCTCTTCCAGCCTCACATTAATAGTTTTTGTTCCAGGTTCCTTGAATAATACTCCACAGACTACTTACTGGTTACCATCTCAGAGCAGCACCATCTTCCCAGAGTAGTTTGGTCAGGCCAAACTCTTCCCAGTTTAGGATACAGATCTGTAAATAGGCCAAAGTGGCTGGAAGGCAGGATAGTTGCCAAACTTTTTTCTTAGGTGCTCTGGACTGGTACCCAAAGCCAACTTGAAATGAATGAAATGGCCCTAAAGAGAGCCCTCTCTGATTCAAAATTTACCATGGAGGAAACTTATGTCGTTTCAGCAGGTGTTAAAATATGAGGTTTTTTTAGAGATTCAAGTTTTACAAGAGTAAAAAGGTAAATCTCAGACCCTCATTTTACTTCCCCAGGGAGAAGAAATAACTAGTTTGTCCCCTTTCAAATATAATGTATACATATTCAGAAATTTTTTTACACAACTATACATTGTACCTTTACTAGCATCATTTAAGAATATGTGTCGGGACTGGGCAGTGATGAAGCAAGGAAGAAGAGATTATAGTAAGGTTTGGGGGACAGCGCATCCAGGACCATGGACGAGGAAATTCTTGGACCCTGAAGTCTCATCCTTCTGTCTTACCCAGGACAGGGTATTTCCTCTCTTAGCCTGGGAACCACATGGTCATAATCTGTACTGTGTGTAAATGTCTAGCTTCAAAAGTGTGTGTGTGCCCGAACGTGTATGAGTGCAGGTGCTTGTAGGTCAGTTAAGTCTGAATTTGTCTTATTGTTTGTGTCAGGATCTCTGGATACGACTTGGTGCATGTCACTTGTAGTGTGACGCTGTGTATCACGTTTGGTGTGTGTGTCTGTATGTGTGAGTGCTATCGGCAGTATGTGTGAGGTAACCGTTGAGGTCTAAAAAGAGTCCGCGTCTGCATCTTGTCAAAGTCTCCTTCAGTCCCCAGCTCCCACACTCACTGCATCGCATCATTCTTGAAGGATGGGCGGGTGTGGGGACACTGGTCCAGTCCCACTCCGGTTTTCCTGAGGGAACACGGCAGGACTCCCAGTGTTCCCAGCGGCCATCAGGGTGAGCAGGGAAGACCGCTGCGCACGCACACATGTGCATCCTGGAAGACGAACTTTGGAGTCGCCTATTCTCGCGCGCGCTCTCTGGTGGCCTCGGAGGGCAGCGCTGACAGAACGAGAGGCGGGGCCTGCGGCGACGGCGGCGGAAGTGAAGTCACTTCCGGGCTGGGGTGTTTGTTTGGACTGGAGAAGGGAGGCGGCGGGCGAAGCGCGCGTCGAGCGGGGTAGCGGCGCTGCCTGTGGAGATCCGCGGAGGCCGACCGGATTCGTTGGCTGCCGTCCCCGCTGCCGTGCACTGGGTGAGGGGTTCCCTCGGGCGGAGCGGCGAGAAGGGTGCGGCGGCCTGGAGATCGAGGGACAGCACCTTGGCGACGGCTGAGGGGCCTGGAGGGTCCCCCGGGTTGTTAGCCACCAAGCCCTTAAGGCTCCCTTTGTTGCTAGCCTCTTACAGCCGAGTCTGAGGGATGAGCTTGGACCGACTTAGTCTCTTTTCTCTGAGAAATGGCCGTCGCTTTTTTTCTTATTGTCATTATTATTTATGATTTGGATCTCGCAGCTCTCTATCCGGGTCCTCGGTGGCGCGCGAGGGTTGCCGGGATAGCACTTTCTCGCTCTCCGCCCCCCGCCCCCCCCCGCCCAGTCTCTTCACCCCTCTCCGGTACCCTTTTCCCCTGCCCCCCACTGCCGCCTCGGCAACAAAGCTCATTGTTTCTCCCCACTTTACGCCTGCGCGTCGCCACGCGCAGCCCCTACATGCCGCGCGTGCGCGCTCCCGAAGGTTGGGTTGGGGAAGAGAAAGGGGCGGAGGGACTGGCGGGCTGACGAGCGTCTTAGAGGAGCGTTCTGTAACCGTCCTCGGTCTTGTATCTTTCTGATGATCCCCTTTCTCTACTTTCTTCACCTTCCCCTACCCCATATTTTTAGTTACGTTGTATTCCATGCTCCAGATAGGAGGGCCTTTGGAGTACTGGGAATTAGTCCAGGACAGTTTTCAGCCAGATGAACTTTAAGGGCCCATCCAATTCACTTTAATTCTGGCTGTCTTACTTTTAATTATTCTCTACTACTCTGCTTACTCTTCTTAATCATCATCAAAAATACATGGCCTGTGGTGAAGTTTTTTGTTGTTGTACAAAACATTTGTTGAAGCAGCCCGAAGTGGTGGTATTTAGTAACTCCAAAAAGGGCTCTTTCTGCTTCCTTTTGTCTTGTTTTCCCTGATTTTGCAGCCCCATCACCTCAGAGAAACCGCAAACTCTGAAAAGAACTTGGCTTCCAATATTTCGTCGGAGAAGGTCTAACAGCTGACAGCTTTTGACACTTAGTTCAGTGGAAGACATTCCCATTTTGCATGTGCTGGCTAGTCTTTTAACCTCATGGTATGATTTTATCACAGATTGCATCTGAGCAGTTGGGCGGGTGTTGGTTTGCGTTTTCATTAAATGGCCTTTGAGATTTCATCAGCGGCAGGTTATGTTTGCAAATAAGGATCTCTGTAAGGAGTTTTAATGAGATTCCCAGCGTTTGCTGTTTTGTGCTTCTGTTTCCAGTTTGTGAGAGGGTATTTGGGGCAAAGTAGCGTGTTATTATGCTCTTGATAATTGGGAACTTGAGCAGAACTTTTTCTCACAAATAAGTGTCTATCACAAGCAGATGGGTAATGTTCCAAAAAATCATCTTTCAGGGACGGGAGATAGGCAGTGGAGACTCACTGTAATGGTTAAAGGCTAGGGAGCTTGGGCTTTTTTTGTCTTGTTCTCCAGTTTTATTGAGGTATTGGAATTTTTATTATAGTATCTTGGATATTGCTTCTTAGGGGCTTTGAGGTAGGTAATCTACTCGCTTTCGAACAGAGTAAGTTTATAGTTGGCTTTTCCTTCAATAAGCATTCTGCACATTATTGAGATTTACCCCTTTATGACTCTAGAGAGTGATGACGTCAGTTTTAGTGAAGATAGAAACATTTATAAAATGTCTACTGTTAGCACAGCAATTTCGTGGACATTGTGGGAGATTAAAGAAGGTGGAAAGTCCTGTCACCTTCCTTTTATGCTTTTACATATTTGTACAATTCACAAACTGCTTTCATACTTACAACAACCTGTGAAATAGGCAGAGCGAGTTTTATCTTGCCCATTTTGAAATTGGGAAAATAGAAGCTTGAGAGATTATTTTTAGACACATACTTCTATAGCATTTAGTAATGCCAGGCATTATTGTAAGTGCTTTTACAAGTATTTAATCTTCACCGTCTCTAAGCGGTAAGTACTACTGTAAAGATTATAAAAGAGATGTGAAGTAACTTGCCCAGTGTTACACAGCTAATAGCTGGAATTCAAATCTGAGTACTCCTCTTAACTACTGTAGGGTGCTGCTTGTGATTTAGTGGCATATCCAGAGTCCTGTAGGTGGTTAGTGACATATCTGGGATTTGAACCCAGTCCAAGATTATAAAGTTGCTGTCTCTGTGATCTGGATCACCCTGTTACACAGGTACATTAGTGGTAGGTATATGATACAACCTAAAGTTCAGTTCCAGTA